TTTTTTTTTTTTTTTTTTTTTTTTTTTTTTTTTTTTTTTTTTTTTTTTTTTTTTTTTTTTTTTTTTTTTTTTTTTTTTTTTTTTTTTTTTTTTTTTTTTTTTTTTTTTTTTTTTTTGTGGTTCTGTTTCTGGAAGAAATCAGTACTGATGGGGTCAAATACAGGCAGGGATATAGCTCCATGGTTACCAATTTTTTCTCCTATTTGGAAATTAAATATAGCCCTGCTTTGCTATGCTTTCCAGTTGTCATCTGGTAGGTGGTGATTTCATTTCTCTTGTTTAAAGTTTAGGGCTTTATTCTCCCTCTTATTCAGCTATTGTTATTGTCAGCTTCTTATGAAAGCAGTGAATTAAAAAATCTCATCTCCATATTAGAGATGTCTGTGAAGCTAGAAATGTTTTTAGTATACAACCAGTAGCTTGATACAGCTCACTGAGAGAAAGTGTCTTTTTTTCTGCTGTTAGAAAAGGTTTACCATATAACAGTACATTTCACTAGTTTAGATCAGGATATTAGGCTTTTGATGTACCAATACAGAAATAAACCCAGCATGCTGACTTTAAACATAGGACCTGTACCATGTATTGGATTAAAGGCCTGCAAAAATCAAAAGGCTTCTTTTTCTTTGGATATTACCCCAACCCTTTTGAACACCAAATAAGGTATTTTTCTAATTCTGTAGAGAATTTACAGCAATGTTTGCTCTGTAAATCTAAGATAATAAGTCTGTGAGAAAATAAGTAAGGAAATAAGTCTTTGACTGGATAGCACATCTGATCCATTTAAAATTAGGGGAGGTTTTTCTTCTCAAAATCAATTTATTGTTGAAAACAGAGTGTCTTGGACAGGCCTGTGAATTTGTATTCATCTGGGAATAAATACAGTAATTCTTTTGTATTCACTCACCTACCTATTCTGCAATCTAATCACACAGCAAGTATTGATCTATTGATTCTATTAGAGAACATCCTGACACATTCACTGGCAGATTTCCAGGTGATGACTGGACTGTTTTTTCTCTGAGTTTCTAGCCATTGGTTGTAGCCAAAAGGAAAACTGAGGGATTAGATTATCCAGACTTAAGCAGAACAGTTTCTATAGGGGAATACACTTCAAGACATTAGGAAGCTTCACAAAATCATTCTTTTCACCAGATTCAGTATGAAGAAAAGCAGTGAAAAAAATACGATGAGGATAATGCATATTATTTTGCTAAGAACATGTGATATTTCTAACTTCTCATGCACGTTTTGTTTACCATATCATGAGTCTAAAAAAAAAACCCACCAAACTATTTTGATGACCTCATAAAGCTGCAAAAAGTCCAAAATAAATTTTGTGAATATCTAAATTAAAATCTGATTTTGTTCTGATTTTGAGTAAACCAAAAGTTTAAAATTCTGAAATCTTTCATTGGAGTGAATTTATTTCCTTTGCAGAGCTCCAGTTTTGAAGCACTACAACCTTTAATATTATTTTTTCCTGATATATCTAATGTAAATCGAAAAACATAAATCTGTAAACTTTTCTTTGTGTATTGCAGGCAGTTTCAGCAGAACTACCTCGGGAATGAATTTTCTTTCTTTACTTGCTTTCACTGTCATACACAAAACACTCTTTAATTTAAACATTTCCCTACAGGGTCAATATATTTTTCAAGTTTTCTAGTACCATGTGATACTTCTAAGTCTGATGACAGGTGACATAGGAATAATAGTTTGAAGCTGCTCTGAATCAAGGTGAAAAAGGAGGCCACTGCTTTGTATAGAATAAAGCTTTTACAATTCAAGTTGCTAACTCAAGAGCACTCATTGGCACACAGCGGGCAGAAGCACTATCACCGCCAGTGCTTGCAGATTAATGCTTCCAGTCATCAACTGAAACTCAAACAGCCACTGTTCTCCAAAGCAACCATTAATCACCTGAGAACAGGTCTTTTATGTTAAAGAAATTTAGCAATTTTTTTTTTCCTTCAAGCATTTAAATTCCTAGGGTTTGAGTCTAGAATATACTGTACTATATTAGAATAAGCTCCTAATCAGTCCAACACACTGGTTTGTGACATGATGCTCTCATGTTTGAGACTGCCTCACCAAGTAAATTTATTTTTTCTGCTGCTATATGGATGAGATTGGGCTGATTGTGAAGTAGTACTAATTTCATTGAGCAGAAAAGGTCATGACACCTGTCCAGGCAACACACTTTTTGGCTGCCACTGTAGCACCAAGTGTGTCTTCCTCACTAGGACATTCCTGCCTTGGCTGAGTCCACCTACACATATACGCTGGTTGAAGCATTCTGGTAGCTTTTAATACACAAAAAGTGATCAACAAGCTAAATTTAAAGCTTGGCCTATGTGTCTTTGAAGGATGAACTGAGAACCAATACATCTTTACTAAATCAGCTACTCAAGGATTGCAGGAAATCTCAAGAGGTCAATGGAAATACAAAGTAGAATATTTTATTATATAAGTGAATGAGAAAAATGCTAAATGCACAGCAGAAATTGCTTTCTTTCAAAAAAAAAAGAATTCAGGAAAAGAAAGTAGTGAAAAAAAGCCTGCCTGCTTATCAATGAAAATTTAAGGGTTTGTTTAAATGGTGTATCCAATCACTTGTTTGTGAGCGCTTCATTTCAATGTGAAGTTCAAGCAGCAGCACTGCTAACAAAAGTCAACAGTGTGTTGACACTTGCTTTCCAGTCTCTGCAAAAAAATCTGTGCCTAGATCAAGGAAGTCTCCAAGTTTTTCAGATTTTGCATATCCTTATTAAGTGGAGCTGGGAGTAACTGGAAACTAAATTACCAGACCTACCTGGCTTAATCTGAGAGATTGCTTTTTCATGTTTAACATGTTCATGCTCTGCAAATGAGAAATCCTAAATTAGAAGGCTTTTTAATTTTTAGAAGATTTTAAAAATAAAAGATTCTCATTATAATTTAAAAAGATGACTTCATTACGCATTCACACGAGACTCGAGAAGAATTTTTTGATAGATATATTTCTCAAGAAAAAGTATTTACTCACTAATTTTTTTCCCTAAAAAATTAAAATAATGAAAAGATATTTTTAAACTCTTTAATGGTGTTTAAGAAATCACAAAATTATTTTCTGAGGATATTTTAAAAATATAGAATTTCTAAAATTCTGAAATGGTTCTACTATTAAGGTTGATTGCTATAGCTGATCTTCTACACAGAAAAATTTTTCCTTGATGTATAGTATAGAAATCATGGCAGTACTTTATTACAGCAGAAGTGGGGTTGTCTCATATAAAATGACAACCAAGTGTTCAGTATCCTACATAAATTAAAAAGTAGTTTTCCATGTTTTTCTGTGCCCTGGATTTGACTGGTATGGAGTTACTTTTCTTCACAGTAGCTAGTAGAGGGATCTCAGATATATTGTGAAGTAGCAATAATAATAGATATTATATTGCATTATAACGTAATCTGCATGCAATTTTGTGCTATTTAAAAACAGTGTGATATCCAAACCCCGACATTATAAGACAGAAAAAAGAAAGCTATGGAATTTCAGAGAAATGTTAAAAATATATGCAATTCTGATTTAAAGCACAGATGATTAATTTGTGCAGCAGGTGAGGTTGCATCAGATCAAGAGATAAATCTCTATAAAGCTTGGACCAGAGGCCTAGCCAGAGAATTGCACAGACCCTTGATTTTTTTCCCAGTACAAAGCTGCCTTAGATGCAGAAGGTACAGGTAGGTCTTATCTTGGTCTGAACTGGAAAATGGTTTCCCTGCAAACTCGGACCTGTGAAACACCGCTGGTTCTGCATTACAGAGCAAGTAATTGAAAACCAGTTTTATAGGTCAGAATGCTGTGTGACTTTGAGCTGATGAATACCATCTCAAGCTGCTAAAGCTTTGACAACATAACAATGATCTTTATCACTTTGATACTTACTGTGTTCATGAGGTTTCCCTGAGGTAGCTAGAAGTAAACAAAGAAGGCATATTTTAATATTTTTGTAATTGTAATGCAAAATTTTATGCATTTATTAATCAAATTTTAGACTTATAGAAGTTCAGTGAAATCTATGT